CATTTTAATAAACCTCATATATAAGTACTACAGTTGATCCAAGGTAGAATTAAGTGCATTTGTGTACATCATATTGGATAAGGATAATTTCCTTAGTTGGAACCCTATTCTGTAAGAAAATTCCCCCCACTTCTGCCTCTTGTGTACAGTTCTGACTGGGAAAGTTGGAAGAGCAAAGAGGGGCTTGCTCATTTTTTTTGTTTTGACCTTTATGCTGTTGAATCTGTATGGGATAGATTCATGGACTTCAGATAATGCTTCAAAAATGCTGCTGCTGTGAAAAAACCGACACTACTACATTTGTGTACACTAAAATTTCAGACCTCTGAAAACAGAATTACTGGAGAATTATTAGCATGACTGTTTTTTTTTCCTTGCAAAAGCAACAGATCACATGTGCTTTTTTCCTGTGAAATGTTTTATTTTTAGGTCTTAACATATGCAGGTTTTTGTCATGCCTTTTCAAAAATTTTGTACCAATGCCTCAGCAAATGTTTCTGAAAATCTAATTCTGCAATATTGTCARTTATAGTGTTGGTGGCTTTTCTCTGTAATTTCCTCCATCTCTTGTGTTTCTAAGAGATTTTTTCATAATATTTTTTTTTTAATTTTRACATGCCAATTTTATTTATAATTAATACTAAAACTACCACTTAAGCTGACGAAGATGGTTTCTAGGATAGATTGGCAGGCAAACTAAATTATTCCTGTTTCATTTCTACCACAGGAAAGTGTTTATTTATTTATGTTGAAATGGGTATTATTTTAATGCTGATTGTCTTATCTTGCTTAAATACTTCTAATCATGTTTCATAAGTATTTTAATCTAGATTTTTKTTTGTTTTAAAGACTTTTATTAAAACTATGCTATTATGTGCCTGTACCATTACTGCTGACAAAACATGGCTCCACCTATAAGCTGATATTTTTTGGCCTGAGTTTTGAAGATTGTGYATAATGGTTAAGTTGTAGCTTAATTTTTAATGGCATTGATTGTGTTATTGGTTCTGCAAGAGTGTTSTGTTTTCTCTGATATTTTCAGTGCAGTGAATCATAATAGTGAAACATAACATGACTTCCATAACATTTATGGATTTTTCTACTGATAAAATATTCTCAGACATATCTTGCCACATTAGTTATGATAGGCTTTAAAAATGTCTCTAAATTCCAGATCTGTGGTCTGTTTGCAAGCTCTGGACTCAGTCCCGAGGAGCTGTGCAGGCAGCTGACCCCATGGTGTTTCCCCTCCAGTCAGGCTCCTTTTGGGAATCAAGGCACTTGTGACAGACCTTTAGAGGCAGGGGGAGTGCCAGAGCTGTCCAGATGTTCCCAGCCCCTTTGTCCGTAAAGTGAGGACCGAGCAGGAAGACAAAATGGATGGACTTGCTTGGGAATTTTCTCTTGGCCTMCTTAAATACAACTGGAACAGGTTGGGTGTGTCCATCAGGGGGTGGAGGGTGGGGAAAAGCAGCTGACTGACCATCAGCAGCGCTGCAGCTCGATGCCACAGGACCCTGCACAACCTCAGGAGAAACAGGAGCCTTGCAGGGTGCAGGCAGGTCAGGGGGTGCTAGCTCAGTAGCCCAGGGCAGATGGTGAGCTCAGGAAAAGTGGAGGAGCTGAGCAAGCCTGCATGAGGCTGCTCCAGAGCCCTTTTTCAGGACTCCAACACTCTGAGTCAGGTACAGTTTCTGTGGGTTTGGCAGCTCCCGGTTATGCCCACTAACTTGTCCATTCCCAACTTGAACCAGCACAGATCTCTAGCATTCATGCTTTYCTGCAATATGTTGCACACTGTAATCAGCAGCTGTGCCAGAAAAGGTTATTTTTAATTAGTTTTGAGCTTACTGATCTCTTTTGTTATCTTCTAATTATTGTGTTGTACAAGGCAGAGAATGATCAATGTCTTTGTTTTGTCATGCCAGACACAATTTCCAGATTTTTGAGAACATAACATATGATCTTCTGGAACATTAAAACATTAACAGCAGTATCTTTTAAAAAGCAGTAATTTTGTCAGACCCACATGAGRAGAACCTGTGCTTCTCCTTGTCATCCCTCCAAATACAACTGTAAAAATCTCCATGAGTTAAGCCATTCTGTTTGATCTCRGTCTTTGTACTATATAACTRCTTTACTAYCTTACAGTTTATAATCTCTTGAATGTTTCTTGGCACAAAAACCTTTGTGTCCATCAGATAAGGCGGACGACGTTGGTTTTACTGAGTCCCCCTAAAATAACAAGGAGTAAAAGTAGAACCCTAAGCTCTAAAGGAATCTTTATTAAATTTATGGAAGCATAAACTTTTGCTGAAAGAGTGTGGTGAATGCTGGGAAGCTATGTATCTAACTTCAGCAAACTAAACTAAATACATTCCAAGAGAACATCTGTCTAAATTTCTAAATCTGGAAAATGCACACAAGWCCTTATAGAAGTCTTTGAGCTTCCCCCAGGGCATGAGTATCCAAAATATTTAATATTCACTTGTARGAGGAATCAGAATATTGTAATCAGTAACTCAACAGCATCTCCTTTGGGTGCTCCTCAATAATGGGTCATCTGCAGGCAGCTGAGCAGAGCATTAATGTAGATCTTGGGCTTGACCAGAATGAAGGGGGTTCACACTGATTCTGCAGTGGCCAAGGTCATCACTCACTCTCTCTTTCACCCTTACTGAGAGCTGTTCATTCCCACTTTTGCATCTGATCTGGAGCTCATTGTACCTCTTGTCAAGRGATTTCAGTTACCTAATGCAGCAAAGCCATGGGTTTGTTGAACTGTCCCGAGTGTACCTTGATGAGTGCCGGAGCTGGCACCAAGCTTGTTTTGATGATTGTTAGCTCTGACACTGAGAGTGTTTTGATGAGTGTTTGTGCTGGCACAAGGTGGGTTCAGTGCTTGCTCCCGAGGGGCAGTGAGATTTCCTGTTTTCAGCAGCAGCCAGCTGTGAACTTGCTGAGGCTGAGGGAACGCCACCTCCATGGAGAGTTGTCCCATGGATGCTCCCATTCAGAAATTTGTTAGCATCCCACTTTTGGTTGCCTCTGCCCCTTACACCTAGATAGAGTCCTTTTTGTTTTAACATCCAATTTCCACTGACTCATTGACAATCCTTGTACCTTTGAGGTTCTGCCAGAATCTTCTATAGCCTAATTAGTTTCTTTTGTATCTTGGTGCGTAAACTCTGATGCATTTGTATTCTCTCATAACTCAGTTTTTTGCTAGACTTCAAGAGCCTCTCTGTGCTTCCTGGTAATGGAACTTTGTAAGCAAAGCTGTCCAATACCTGTCTTCAGTATTTGAAAAGCGGTCTCCTTTGGGCAGTGATATTAATCTTACCTCAGTTTGACTGGAAATACATCTTCTTTGACGTATTCTGGGATGACAGTTGTGTTTTTSAGGAAGACGTTCTATTGATCTGGCAAATCATTTTGCCAGAAACAAGTGTGGTCATGTCTCTCTTTCTTATAAACCAAGCCCTCCAAAAAAACATTACAGAAATTCTCTCCAGCACTTAAGTGCATAAATTTGCTGTTTGTACAGTTGAATTTGATCTCATTTCTGATATCCAGTCCTGAAGAACATCCAGGTCTTCCCTATGGGAATTGTTTTCAATCTTCTTTATTCTCTATGCGTTCCAATTTTATGTTATCAGCATATTTCATTGGAATGCTCCTGTATTATTAATGCAAATACCAAGTTGGCAGTTTTTAGTTGATACTGGAAGACCCACACTTCCAACCTTGTCCTGCTTGGGCCTCACTCAGGGCAGTCACCAATGTTTATGTGACCAAACACATCTGTGGTCCTGCTGCCTTTTTGGCCAGGGCGAAGCTCTGGAAAGCTGAGCAGCCACTGCCCTGGGTGCTGCTCTGCTGTTCCTGCCCTCCCTCCCCTCACCAGGCCAGTTCATGTCTAGCTCAGGTGTTTTGCTGTTGGAAGAAGAAATACTCAATTTTTGCCTCTTCTGCCGAGCAGGTGTGCTGCTCACTGCCTCCTGCCACAGGGGTGAGCCTGCCTCTTGTCAGGTTTTTTTACCAATTCTTCATTTTTTCCAGCTTGATTGCCACTGAGGTGGAAGAACAGCAAGACTTTATGCTATAAATATAACATAATCTAATCTCATCTCAGTAATTTGTAGTTTTTGAACATGCTTACTGAAATTTATGGTGTAGATAATGTKGTCTCTTCCAACCTTACCAGTTCTGTGATTCTGTGGTTTGCTTGCCTAGAAAATAACTATGCAGAAGAGGATTTGACTGATTTGGTATCTGAGTGTGGTAGTAAATACAGCCTGCATTTAATTTATATATGTTTGCCTCAGGTCTGATTGTTTTTTCTCCTTGGTGTTTGTTCCAAGTCCTTGTGTCCTTGGAGGCTGGGATTGCTGTTACCCAGAGCCTTTTCCTCGGCATTGCTGGAGCTGCAGGGCTCGCAGGGAATGTGTGGAGTGTGTGCACCTGGAATGTGAMCCTGCCTGGGCTGCAGCTCCCGGGGCCCAGGCTCTGCCCACCCGTGCAGCGATGACCTGAGCTCACCATGGTGGTGGTACAAGGTCACGTCATTGCTGTGCCACTGTGTCCTTTGAAGCCTGCCAACGCAGCTGCCGTTTGCCCTCAGATTCCAGCTGGTTTCTCATCCTTCTCCTTTTTTCCCTTTTTTTGAAGTTCAGCTAACTTCTGTGCTGTTCACTTTTCTATTTGTTGCTAAAAGTCTCTTGAATTACAATCAGTGCCAGTGGTTGGTTTTGAACCTTCCATGAGGAAACTCCCCTCAGTTTTCCTTGTCCCACCTTCTGGTGTTAAAACTCGGTGTATCCCATGCACTGTGTAACTCCATTGGAGGTGCTTGTTTCAGTGATTTTTATGAACATTTTAGGAAAAGTAWCCTGCAGGCTTTGCCCTTTTCAAATGTAAATGTTTAATCAGTGCTTGCTGAGAGGAGGTACAAGAACACATGCGCGAGGCTTATGGTTCTTTTTTTCTTCTTTTTGCAGTGACCTGCTGTCTTCTGAATATCTTGAGAGGCATATCGAGCAAGGTGGGAAGACAGTGGAAGTTAAAGTAAGAATTTCCTTTTTATGCTTTTCTTTTTTGATTTGCTTGGCTTTTGATGTTAATGCAAACACACATATTTTTGTGAAAGGAGAGATAACTGATTTTTCAAGTGATTTGTTTTACTATTCTGAGGCAAGCATGCTTCATGTTTTCTAACTTTCACTTTTAAACAAGGCAAATGAACTCCATTGTCAAATTTAGTACATTAATGTTTATATCAAAAGGGTATCCATGAAAAATGTATAATAATAAGTTTTTTTTACTAATAAATATACTTCACTTTTGATACCTATTGAAGAAAATCTTGTTCTGGTAGATAACCTTTTCTCATTGTAATAAACCCCAAGTGTGTTAGTTTGTTATGAGTTTCTTTGTAAATTTGAGAATAGCAAGATTTATTGTATAGTTTCCAAATATCTATTCACCAGTTGTGGGTTTCTGTCTGTATGTTTGTTGGCATGTTGACTACAAGATGCCATTTGTTGCTGTTGTTTTGTGTGAGATGTCTCACAGCCTTTGCAGAAGTGTTTTGTTGTTTGCCTGCAAAATGAGAGATTTTTCTTGAAGACTTTCCATTTGTTAGGACTTATTTTRTAGATGACAGCTATAAATTTTGTATCAGTTGCTGTAGATTACATKGTGTGTATTATATATGGTACAAAATGGAAACTCTAAATTTGCTTATTAGGTAAACACCGCATAAAAGTTCGTTCAAAGTTTACATTTTATTAGAAGAAATCCCCCAAATCGTTTTACTAAATCTGAGATCACATAAATGCCTTGAAACAAATGCACTAGCCTCTGCAGCATGAGAGTGGAAATGGAAATGGAAATGGAAATGGAAATGGGCAAAGCAGTCCTTTATCCAGTGGGTAGATGAAGATCCATGTTTCCTTTGGTTTATTCCCTTCTGTCATTTGCAAATAGGAAATCTGCTCTTCCACTATTGTCAAGATAATAGTCTGCATACATTATCAAACTGAGGCAAACACATATGTGTTCCATTAAATTGCAAAGACTAATTTCTCAGCTCTGCTCTGCAGTCAAGAAGTCTTGCTTGACTGAGATTCAGAATATGAGTCAAAGCAGAGTTAAAGATAATAGCTGATATTAGTAAGAACAAAACAACCCATTTGTCTGCATTAAGGTGTATATGCAAGTTAGCTAAGTTAATCCATTCAAGCCTCGTCACTGAATTGTTCCTGATGAGCAAGCCTTRATCAAGCAAGGAAATGTTTGAAATCAGTGGCTGTTCACATCTGAGTACTGTTTAATTGAATGGGGAAGTGATGGGAGGATCAGGGGTCAAAAAATGTTCTGGATAAAACAGCTCCCAGCCTCAAGGGTCCCAGAGATTATTTCCCCTTCATTTAGATGCTGAGCCGGGGTCAGGCTGTACCTTCAGGGATGGTGTCACTGCCTGGCTTAGTGCTCTCAAATCTGCTTTAATAGAGAGCTGGCATTGCTGCATTGAGCCTGATGCTTGAGTGAGCTGACCTGGGAGTGAAAGGGGCTGCAAAGGCTGTGCTGCAGAGAGGGGCTGCTGCTCCACTGTTGGGTTTCCCTGGTGTACCCATGGGGTAGGGGTGCAGGGGAGGCTGGGCCATACAGGTGGGCTCTTCTGCCCCCTTCTACTCCACTGCTCCAGGAGTTCTGCAGGCAGCAGTCATGTGGAAGCATGCTAGGAAAGAGGATGTAAATATTTTCCTGGCTTTGTTGCATCTGAGTGTGTGGGATTGACAGKGAGGGAAGCAGCTGCTCTGATGAAATGTCAGAAGAGCCTGGTGGCCACAGTCATGGGAACATTTTCATAAAAGTTCAGATATCTAAAGGTTTCTGGAAAAGTACAGGCTACCAAGTAAATTTTAATACCAGACACTGAGTGAAGTTGATTTCAGTACTGCTTAAAAACAAATCATGTCCCCCTGACCAGTCAGTTTTTCAGAGCAGCAGTAAGTGCGCTGGAGAGCTCTGTGTCGAACCATTTCTGAACAGACTGGCAGTATCTGTTTTGCGTTTGAGAAACTGAGCTCTGGTTTTCTATCAGATGTTTTGAAAATCTTACTGCAACTACAATAAATTTCCACAATGGTGATTTATTACCTTTGATCACTATGGGAATTGTTTACCATAGCTGGTAACATAATTATTATACCAGATTTTAGGGATTGTGCAGACTGCTTAGATACTTATTTAAAAATAGCTAGTAAAAGGGTGCAACTTSAATAAATCACAAAATATGCACTCTKCTGTGCAGCATATTCTTAAGCAGAAGCTGAAGAGGTATTTCAGAAAGGGGCCAGGTTTCTCTCAGTTGCCTCAACATGCTGCTCCTCACCCACCTCTGTGCAGTTTGTCTTGGGCTGTAGGCAGAGACAGAGGCGGCCTGGCAACGCCTCTCACTGCTTTGGTGGGAGAAATGGTGACAGAAGGAAAACATCCCTCTGCCATCCGCTGCCAGCTGCAGGCTTTGAGCAAGTTTTTACAGCAAACTGGTCTCCTCTGTCCTTGATCCTACTGGAGAGGGTGTTTTGAGCTGTGTTCATATTGCCCCTTGCATTTCTGCGTGCAAGGAGACACGTGAATTGCCAGTGCTGCTGGCGTGATATGAAAAGCCATGGTGATATGGGAGAGGACAGGAGCTGGGAGTGGCGGTGTGAAGGCAGCTGTACCTACACCCAGCAGCTCGGGAGTGTTACAGGCGTGGATGTGTCTGGGAAGCGGATCCTGCCTTGGCTCATCTGCCATGTGGAGTTGATAAGTACTTCTGCCAYTCCTCCCCCTCTCCTTCCCTCCCAGGAAAACTTCCTGTGCTGTAAAGTACATATGGATCTTCTGCATCCACTGAGGATGCTTTGGAGAGGGGGGCAGGGGAAGGGAGGAGCATTCATATCATTAAAAATACCATTTTTAGGTAGCAAAGGCATTTTTACTGTGAGAAGAGTCCTCAGTTTAACACACCTTTTTCATAATAGGAAGTTACATTAAATTTGATTTCTGCATAATTATTAATAYGTTAGACCATTGTGAAGGTGGAACATGTTACACATGTTTTTGCAGGGTGCCAGAATTTAGCTGCTGCAGAGGAGGGACTTCTTGTTAATTTGGCACAGTTAGGCAGCACCTAAGACATTTTTATTAAACCAGCAGCAGTGTACCATGCCTAAGAAAAACAAAAGGAGGTAGAGTTTGAATTATTTCAGTGTTTTCCCCCACACCCCCCTTTACTGTACATCATATCTCTAACTACTAGGAAAGCAGCAGTGTTGGCCTAAATTCCCTCTGGTAGCAAAGAGAATAATCAATTAATAAGAAAGAGAAAAACCCTTCTTGGCATTGCCTTTTCCTGATTGTGTCATTCCAGATCATCCTATTCTCACAGTGCATCAATACTCAACCTATGTATACCTGGTGTTGTTGCAGTATATCTCTGTGTCCTTTTATCTCTYTCTCTCCCTCCTTTTTTTGGATGCCATTCTGTCACTGATGCTGTCAGTAAGATGAAAGGCAAAAAACAGCTATAGTGCTGAGTAATTCACATTGCTGGATTTTTCTCCCTCRGAAGGAACAACTGATATCTATTCAGTGATATTTTCTCAATAAAATGTTTCAGTTTTCCTCTCCAGAGTGTGTCGAAAAAATTACTTCTGCTTGTATTTCCCCAAAACATTGGACAAATCTACAAGATCTTAGAAAATTGCTTTCTAAAAAAAATTAAACAATGAAAATAATTCAGATCCCCAGTCAGAAAACAAGTCTACAATGATTTGTGGTGCAGCCAGAATAAACAACCAGTGAACAGATAATTTTAACAATTGACTGCTGTGTTTCCAGTCTTACAGCAAAGTGCTTCTGCCACCATCTTCCAGTTAGGGCATCTGCTGTCTGCGAATAATCTCTTATTTTTGCTCAGTTTTTGGTAACTCACAGTTTTGTAATCAAAGAGGAAGGTGTTTCAATTGCCAGAAAAGCGTGTATGCTAAAGCAGGCTTTCCTGTAAGGAATTAAGTTTTCCCTTGAAAAGCAGAGTGCCAGTTGGGCTGGCAGAGAATGGGATGGGAGTGCAGGACTCAGCCCTGGGAGCCTGGGGCTGGTGGGGAGCTCTGTGTGTTAATTCCTGAAACTTGCACAACCTGGTGATGAAAACTGAAAAGGAGCAGATCATCAATAATGCAGGAATTCTATATGCCTGTTTCTGGCAGAGCTTTTTTGGCTGTGTCCAGAGACTAGAGGAGTTGTTGGTATCAGAAAAATCTCTCTGTGGCTTGTTTGAGAGAAAACTTTGAATAAGGGTTCCTGTAATGTCATCAGATATTCTCTCTCTTATGCCCTCAACAGAGCTCAGCTTGCCTCATGGCAAATTATTAATAAATCTAGGCCATAATCTACTTTTTAGTGATASCAGTAAACTAGCTGAAGAAGAGCTGATAGGGAGTCTCTGAGTCTGACACAGTTTAGCAAGGGGTTCTTGCATGATTGATCTTCAGAGTGCTCTCATCACATGTTTTCATTAATGACTTATATTTTAAAAAAAGGATGTATATGTTAATGAAGTTTGCCAACAGTGCAAAACTGAGAAGCATTGCAGGGCACAGAAGGATCAGCTGGAGAACTGAGTATCTGTGACCAATGGAATAAATAAAAACTGAATAGAACRAACGGCAATTCTTGCTTCTTGCAATTAGGGACTAATTATAGGTGTTTTTACTGTACAATGRAAGTTCTTAAATTGAAAGTTCCACAAGAACGGGAGGATTAGAGTGTAGTTGTGGAACAGGGAATGGCAGGATGGAAGCAAACTGTTGTCTCAAAATATACCGGTCAAATTACTTCCTGTAGGTTTTGACTGGAATTAATGTTATTGTATGCGTCTTGATGAAGAGTTGACAAAATTTTTTAATTTCTGTCTGTTTTCAGTTACTGTGGACATCTTTTTTTTTTCTTTTTCTTTTTTTTTTCTAGCAATGTCATGCTGTCATATTGAGTCAATAGTCAATTGATAAATA